AATGGCTCCAGCGTAAAGCTGAAAAATAAACCGAACATTGGCATGAAACTAATTTCTGAGATTTGTAGAAAGACCCTTTGCAACAGTGTTAATTTGTAGTCACAGACTTGACTATAATGTCATTTAGTTTTAGTCAACTAAATACCTCATGATGAAGATGATGAAGTCAAAAGCTGCCCAGCAAATTGGCGAAGTTGGTTGTGTTTTCACTGATGAGATTTGCTCAACACGATTTACAATGTCTTATTTTCCTTGCCATCAAATGTAAAATGTGTACATGTGTCTACTCTTCTCTTCCTCCCAAGCGTTGACATTTTGTTGTGTTTTCATGAGAGTCAGGGAGCTTGGGAGATGGTTGTAGTCTCCCTGGGGCGGCTCAGACGTGCGTGTCCAACCTCACAGCACAAGATTAGTTCTGCTTGGATCACTTCCAAACCCGCTTTTCTGTACAACTTAATTAGTTCTGATTGGATCTCGTCTCTCCAGAATGTTTTCATCTTGTTTTTTATTTGTTGAATGCATCAATACATTTTATCATAGCTTTTGTCGTCCTGCATAAGTTTTTATTAAGTTATTGTTCTCATTCGAAAAAACAAGGTTGTTGATGAAAACTATGATTAAAATTATTTTTCAACATAATTAACACGGTTTTTCAAAGCGATAAATACAGCACAAACATCTTCACACCAGCACTGATACAGAGCAGAAAAACATAACAGCTTCTTCATACAAATTGTATGAATACAGACGTTGTTTGCTCAGCTTTAAGGACTTTTCTTGTCGTAGTCATGTCAGCACCTGCCTGATAACAAAGACACGGAAAGTGCCTCATGGCCTTGAACAGAGTTTACAGTTAGATTTGAACCTGTTGCTTCCCATCTTCACACACGCACACACTTTGTACTCTTTGTACAAGATGTTACAGTCACATACCAGCAGAACACAGAGATTAGAAAAGCTGAAACAGGTTTTCCATTACACACTCAGCAGGATTTGTCTGGGTCAAAGTTGGGGAGTAATAAACACATTAATATTGATGTTCTATGAACCACGGCATCAGTGTGGCTAATAACGACCACTCTGACATATTTGATTTCTGAATCTGAACTTGATCATACCTTGTTTGTCGTAGAATGTGAAATATTTCCCAGTCACTAACAATGTGTGGACTAACTGCCACTTAAGACCTGTCTATCTTCCTTTTCCCTGCCTGCTACTCCTCAAGCTGTGCCAGTGCTTCCAGTAGCAGGAGGAATGATGCCCCCAATCCCTGCTATGCCAATCCCCTCCCACCACCATCATCACGAGCAACATCAACAACAGCAGCAACAACAACAATACCACCAATACAACCGACCCCAACACCCCTACCACCGTCAGCAATCGTTTTCTGCCACCACTCCTTCTAGTCGTGTAGCACCCACGCAGTCACCCACTCGCACCCCCGCTGCTGCCCCCGCAGCTACCCCTGCTGTTGATACCGATGTCGCTTCCAATGTGTCTGTTGTCCCGGGTCTGCCTGCGGCGCCCTCACTCCCAGCCACGCCTGTGGTTCCAGGCTTGCCTGTGATGACAGGTGTGCCAGGTAGAATAAAAGGATGTGTGTTAGGTTTTCCAGCATGTTTGGCCTGAAGTGTTTGGGCATGATGGACTCCTTTATTTCTTTTTTCTTTAATTAAAGCCAGTTTCAAGTTTTTTTGTGTTTGTTTTTTATGTGGGGTTGCAAAGTTCATTTGTGTGGTTTGTTTTAAACAGATAATTCTGTTTCTTGTGCTCTTAGTGCAGCAACAACATAACAGTTATATGTTTGTGCTTCTCCAGGATCGGAGCAAGTGGTACTGACTCAGCAGCAACAAGCCATCATCAACCAACAAGCCATCATTCTGGTCTGACATCATTTCTCTGAACAACTCTGACATTAAAACCACTGTTCGTACTGGGCGATACAGTTCTGTGTAAAAGAGAGACTGTGCAACACTTACACCTAATGATTCAGTAGTTTGTAGGAACACATCTAGCACCAATAACTTGAAGTAATCATTTTCTGTGTGACCGGTTTGTCACATAGTTGTGGAGGAATTTTGGCCCGCTCTTCTTTACAGCGTTGTTTCAGTTCACTGGGGTTTGTTTATGCTTTCTCTTAAGGTCACATCACAGCTTTTCAGTCAGGTTTCACTGGACATTGATTCTTTTCTTTTTCAGCCATTCTGTTGTAGATGTGCTGCTATGCTGGGGATCAATGTCCTGTTGAATGACCCGGTTTAGGCCAAGTTTTAGCTGCCTCATGTAGACAGACATCACATTGTATTTTCTTTCTGCACCAAAAATATGACACAACAATCTAGTTTTTTGTTTGTTGGTTTTTTAGACTTGTTCAGTATATTTCCAACTTTCCAACTTACCTAATATTCATATTTAACATGCTAACTGATGGCTGCAGAGGCTTACATGTAGCTAATGGGTGTTTTGCAGTTCTTCTGAGTATTGCACTGTCTGACCTTAACTCGTGAATGCGCCAGAGCAGCAAAGCGCCAAAACATCTGATTTTATAGATGTGCTCACACTTGCTGATGATCAGCTAATCCATTACATTTGATTTGCTGCTACTTACCCTCTCAATTTCAATGGAAACATTAATGGTGAACTTTTTTTACAGGACTGCACAGAGTCTTTTTCACATGGCTGTACGAGCAAATGAAGTATGATAAAACTGTCTTTATGCAGTCAAATGCTAAAAAGATAATGCTGCACTCTGAGCCCTTAAACTAATGTTTAAGTGAAAGATACCATAATCAGTACCACTTTCACATTTGTATGTCACAGTACACATGACGCTAAAGGCTGTACTACCAAAATACTTGGATAATCTAAGCAGTTAATTCATTTATTGAGTGAAAATTGACAACTTTACAAATGTACCACATTACTTTACTGACTCCTGACATCAAATGTCTTGCCTAAACAAATGATATCAAGTTACAAATTGACACAGTTAACCTAAACATTAAGTTAAACCATAAAAGATGAATATGTTTTAAACATAGGTATAAACTGTTGTTTACTAAATATTGAATATATGTTGGATTGTTTGTGTTGCAGGCCCAGCAGATGACGATGCAGGCCATAGCAATCCAGCAGCAAATGTTGTCTTCTTTCCCCCCAGCTGCTCCAGCCCCACAGTCACCACCCTCATACTATCACGCGCACTCACAACAGCGCTCACGCACAGCCAGTCCTGTGAGTAAACACACATGCTGCTGTGTTGATGTAACGTTCAATACACTTTATGCATGCAAATCTGAAATATAATCTTGAAGCCGTATCACTTATTGTTGTTTTTCCTACAGACCAAAGAGAGTGAGGCGTCTCCGCACAAGCCGAGCGCTGCCGCTGTTCAACGGAAAACGAGTATGTGGTACACTTGCTGTGCGGTTTCTGAATCAAAAAGGAGTGGAAATAAAAATATTGGTGCATTGCAGCATAGTGATTTGTGGTTGGAAAGCCCACTGCAATAATTGAAAATGCAGAATTGAGTAACTGCCCTTAAATAAGTATATGATTATCACTTTAAGGATTTCCCCCTGTGTGTCATGAGTCGCTGTGTGGCAGGCAGGAGTTGGACCCAAAATGCAGGCACTCAGGCATGAGGTTTAAACACAAAAAAACTCAGCTTTATTTGCTGGCAGGGGAAAGTCATAAAAAAGCAACCTAAACTTAACTGGAAACTCATGGAGATCCACACAGCATGAGGGACAACGCAACACTGACTCAGAGAAACACAGGGTTTAAATACACTGGGAAGTAACGAGGGGAATGAGACACAGAAGGAGAGCACAGCTGGGGGAAATCAGAACTGACGAGACAAGGAAGCGTAAACTGAACACACTGAGATAAGACAGAGACCTTCAATGTAAAACAGGAAACACATAACACAGACTGAACAAAAGACAGCCTCACATGCAGGCACTACAACAGAGGGAACAGAGACGTGGGACCAGGGCAGACACAGACACTGACTGGACACGGGGATATAGCGGACAGGGGAGACAGCAACTAAGGATTACACAGAGACAAACCATAAGACAGAAGTCTAACAAAGAAACCAAAGACTAGAAATGATAAATAATATATAAACTCAAAACCCTGGGTCAACGACCCAGGCATCCTAACACTGTGGCTACAGGGGTAAGGGATGAACCCTGAACAAACTGGGTTCGTGTGTAATCAAACTTTTTATTCCAGGTCCATCACGTGGCCCCCCTCCCGAGGATGTGGTCCGCTCCACTGTGAGTAACACTGAGCACTTGGACCCCAGCCATGATATCAAAGACATTATCAAACAGCACCAGCCTGAAGGCACAACATCTTCCTCTGGATCTCCCACGCAAAGGTTAACACACACACACACACGATGATGTGAGATATTGACGATTGTCATACTCTGTGGTATTTAATCTGTTCTGACTACTGTGGTGTGTGTAGGAGAAGTGATGGAAAGTTGTTTGGAAAGAAGTCAGACCCTCATGATGAAGCGATGGAGATCCTTAAAGATCAAATGGCGAACCCACCACAACCGGTATCCTAACTCCACACCTACCACACACACACACACACACACACACACACACACACACACACACACACACACACACGGCAAAACAATATCTAACCATTTTCCATATCTCAGACTCACAGAAAGACTTCGTCCGCCCAATCTAAAGAAGACAGGGGACACAAGACTAGCCAGAAAGCCAAGCCTCGCCCTCAAGGGCCATCTAGCTCCAACATAAGCCCCGCCCCTCCTCCAGGTAAATTTACACTGTAGAAATACCTGTGAATAAGCTCCAGATTAGACTGATACAGGTGTGTATTGTTCATGATATAAATAAATAAATAAATGAATGTTCTTGCTTCCAGTCTCCAGAGAGTTGCCAGTTGAGGAGGAGATCATTCAGACTCAGCTCCACAGCAGAACCAGTGATGAATATTACACTTATTCCAACGTCCCGTGGAAACTCTACATGAGGAAAGAGGTTTGTTTTTACCTCAGTTTTTTTTTTAGCTAAGTACAAAAAATGGAGCTGTAAACCCCAACGTCAATATAATCATTTACATAAAAATACAGTTTATTTATGTCTGTCCTCCATTTACAGGTTTTTTATCCTAAAGAGAACTTGAACAATCCACTGATCCTGGATCTGATCTTCAGACAGGTTGGTTTATAAGTCCAATAACTGTCAATATTCATCATCTTTATTTATTTTGCTTTTATGCAATTCTTTGTGTAAACTTGTGTAAATTATCAAAGAGACCTCAGGGTGTCTTCCAGCTGGTCTAGTTAACAGTAATTATGGCAGTAGTTCAGATGGTCATGATTTGTTAATATTAAAATGCTAAAATAGTGTCTGTGATGTAGTTATTTTTCACTCCAAGTGTTTCCCATTAGCACATTGCTATTCCTGGCTGTGTCTTCCCAGATTGTACATGACACCTTTTCTGAGGCTTGCATACGTATCACGCAGGAGGAGAGACAGAAGATGAAAGACCTGTTGGGTATGAAACTAGCATGCATGCTTTAAGGTTTATGACTTACTTGCATCTATGTGATGCTCTCTGTTGGTTCTCAGGAGTTCAAACTTTTACTGATCCTCTGTTTCTGTGACAGCGGAGAACAAGGTGGATCAGGTTTCTGGAACATACAATGAGAACGTGAAGAAGAAGGTGGTCACCGTGGCTAGAGACGAATGGGAGATCTACTTCTCTCGCCTCTTTCCAGCCTCTGTGAGCTGTTGTTTTGCTTGGCATAGATAAACTGAATTAATAAATAGTTTCATCATGTGTTTATATTGTGGTGTGTGTATATGGTTGTGTGTGTTTTCCAGGGCAGTGTCGGGACAGGTGTGCAGGTGTTGTCCGTGTCTCATAAAGGTATCAAGCTGCTGAAGATGGTGAAGAGCAGCTCTTCTGCTTCAGACTACTTCAGAGTGCTGAGGCCTTACAGGTGAGTCTCATACAACATATTCCCGTTAAAAAACCCTGTAAGTTAGATTGTTTTAAATGCATTTTCTTGTTTTAAAAACACAAATCAGATGCTAAATAGAAGATCTGGCCATAGATCTTATTTAACTTTCTGTGTATACATGTCAAATGCCTGATTGCTTTGAACTATGACTTTAAGTTGACTTCCTGGTTTGGCGTATCTCTTCCTTTGCAGCTATTCAGACATCCTGTTTGTGTCTATTCCATCTAAGAACATGCTTGAGTTCAACCTGACTAATGAGAAGCTGATCTTGTTCTCCGCCAAAGCCCCGCACGTCAAGCATATGACCGACTACTTCCTCACAGAGCTTAAGAAGGTCAGAGGAATGTTGTCAGTGTCTGCGTGTGACGAAGTGTGAATTATGAATGGATGAGTTTTTGTAATGCACACTGATTGGCACAATTAAATTAGATAGCATTACTGTGTAAAAAAACCTCATATAATATATTTTTTAATATATGTATGCATGGACTTTACTCCATGTCCTCTTTGATTTGAGTGTTTTCTTATTAACTTTCTATTTATTTGTTTTTTTACTTTAAAAAGATGAAAATTCAGGTGTAATCCAAATTTATACTGATGCCATAACATTGACATCTAAGCGCGTTCACAGGGTGTGTAGTGCTCTTTATCCACGTGTGAAACTGGCTCAGTTTTCAGTGTCTTAAAATTATGTGCAAAATTTTTTTTTTTTTAATATTTTGCTTCCAAGTATTGCTCAAAAGTGGTTTTGAGCAATACTTTTAGAGTTTTTCTTTGGACATTTTCTTCTTTTTCCCTCATTTTCACTCCTTGTATCTGACCATTTTCAGAGGAATTTTTTGTTTTGTTTGTTAAGCCACTTAACACTGACCTCTGAATCATTCAAGCACCAAAAAAAGCACCTGAGTCAAAGGATAAGTCTGTATTTTGTCTACATTTGACACACAACTTAGCAAAAAAAACAACAACAAAAAACCCCCAAACAGGCACTTTGTTTCTAGCAGCCTGTAAAAAAAAAAAATCCCCATTTCTGGAGCTGGATCTTCAAAAATTTCCAAAGACAACAGACATGAAATAGCAATTAGCAATTTTACACCAAACAGGTCCTTCCCAAAGAGCTGCTAGCTGAAACCTGGGTGTATACCGGCATGGTGTGCAGTGTGTCCTGACACGTGACCTCATCATAAATGGTTTGAGTGGAAGCCATTCTTAAGGAACGGAAACGGGGAGAAAAGACTGAAGTGTGCCAAATAACCCAAGAAGTGGACTAAAAGTCAGTGACAACAGGTGTTATGCACTGATGAATCCACATTTCAAATGATCGGTTCAAATCATCATCAGTATGTACGGAGGAGGAGGTCGGGAGAGATGTAGAACACTGAGCGTCTCCAGCCATCTAAAGCATGGTGGAGGCTCCGTCATGGTTTGGAGCTGCAGACTACTTAAACAAAGCTTGCCTGATGATTTCAGGCTGTGCTGAAGAACAAAAATGGTCACACAAATCCTGTATTTCTTGTATGCTTGCACATGTTTCAATAAATCAATGCACATATTTCCCATTTTCCTTGTAAAATACAAAACCATGAAGTGTGGCTTAAGATTTTTATACAGTACTATATTATATGGCACTTTAAGTATAAAATATCACTACCTTTATTTCTTTATTTTTTACTTATGGAGATGTGATCAGTACGCAGGAATAACTATTTAAGTTTATAAACTTTAAAACAAACCTACAGTGAGTAGCGCTGACAAACCCATGAATTCAAAGTGGACATTAAGCAGTGAGTGAGGAAAGGGATTTTCTTGGCACAAATGTTCTTTGGCTCTCTGCTGGATGTCAGCGTGCCCTGTCTTTGTCAGGACTCAGAGTACGTGGTGGCAGTGAGGAACTACATCACTGAAGACAGGACTCAGCTCAACTTCCACAAAGGCGACATCATCAGACTCCAGCACATGGACGGACTGGAGGCTGGTGAGATACAGGAACAATCCAACACTGAAAATTGTCACAGTGCTAGATCTGCGTTCTGCCTCTGAATTATTTCACAGTGCCCATTTCATTGTGTGGTTGTATCTCAGGTAAACGTTATGGCTGCATTGTGAGGAAGAAGGTGATGCTTCTGGAGGAGCTAAAGAGAAACACCGCTGAGTTTGGTGCGTGTGGCGTGACCTTTCTTATTCTAGCTTTCTTCTAACATTTTGGAGTTTATTTATGTTGGTTGTGTGACGCAAAATATTGACGACATTGAAGAGTCTTTATTTTGTGTGCAACCTTTTACTTATTTTGTGTGTGTGCATGTGTGTAGGCTGGCGGTTCGGCGCCGTGTATGGAAAGTCTGGAGTGTTCCCCAGCGAGTTCATCCGTCCTGTGGCTGCTCCGGACTTCTTTGGTCTGCCTCCTGAACGCGTGGAGCCCCGAGACCGGCAGGGACGAGTCGCTGCCTCTGCTGCTGTTGCCGTTGCGATGGGCTCAGCTGTAGCTGCTCATGAGCTCGACCTCTCTACCGAGGTGCTAACTGCATTTTTTTACTCTTTTTTTCTGCTTTTTCAAGCTTCCCACTGTCAGAATAATAGGTTAAAGGCTAGCGTAACCTACAGAGCTCAACATGAAAAGTACCCTTACATTATGGTATTAGCCAGTGTTTATACAGCATACATTGGAATGCTTTGGTTAGCAGAAATGGAAATATTTTTTAGATAATTACACTGTTGGTGCTCCCAGTAAGTGGCACTATTGCTTTTGCTCTTCATGCTGTGGATTTGTGTGTGTCTCAGGTAGTGAATGAGATCTATGGAGACAGCCTGGGTGTCGAACTGGACGACCTGCCTCTGCACAGCAGCCAGTACCACATGGTTGAGTTTGCCAAGAAGTACTTCCGAGAAGCGCAGAGGAACAGGAGGTCAGATACACACATGTGCAGTGTCAAAAACAAAAAAGAGTTAGAAGGGTTCAATGTAAAGCTAAAATTTGCACTTACGGTGATAAATAAATAACCAAGAGTTGATTGTCTGCTTTTCCCCACAGTGATCAGAAAGCAAAAAAGGGGAAGGAGCCCAGGGACCCTGCTGACATGGTCAAATTCTCCAAGGTAATTCAAATCACAATCATGTCTCTGTGTTCAAATATATAGGATATGTTTCTCTGTGCCTGTGCACAGACATCTAAAATGTTTTTCTTGCCATCGTGTTCTGGTTTAACACCTTGTTTCTTTTTCTAGTCTCCAATCCAGGAGTCACTGATCGACTTCTCAGACAGTGGGATGAACCGAGTGGCTGCTGACATCTTCTTAGGTGAGAGCAGAGTGTGGAAACGAAAAGAAACATAGGAGGTTGAAGCAGAAGATAGCAGCATAAAATACGCATATATTTCGTGTTTCTTTGTGTTTATTTTTAGTTTATTTTTAGTATAAAAGCATTAATGTGCTTTAAACGAAATACATCTGAAAAGATGTGGTCCAGCTCCTTCTGTTTCTTTTGCCCAGCTATAATGAAGTTTATGGGAGACTTCCCAATGAAAGGCCAGACTGAGCAGGACCTGGTCACCACTATATTAAAGGTATGCTTACATCAGCAAATTGTCTATCCATTGTGATACTAAGACGAGGTCTGTGTGTGTGATTTTATGTTTTTCTTCATGCATGTGCTTAAACAAATCTAGTTAAGTGGTGACCATGGCCTGATGAAGGATGAAGCCTACTGCCAAGTGATGAAACAAGTTACTGTCAACACCAGCTCCAAACCGTAAGGCTTCCAGCGCTCGCTTGTTCTTAAAGAGCGGTGACATGATCGTGGAGAGGCTTTAATCTGTGGCTGTGTGCGTGCTTCTCTGTGTGCAGGGACAGCTGTCAGAGAGGATGGCGGCTGATGTATATTCTCACATCTTTCCATCGCTGCTCTGATGTTATGAAGCCGTTTCTGTTGACGTTTCTCCAGGATGCATGTGCCAGCCCTGGTTTGCAATACCAAGGTGGGCATCGTGTTCATCAGTCCATCTCTTTTGATCTTCACTGGTCTAAAGTGTTTACTAGCTGCTCTTCCAATTGACAGGTATTGCCAAGGCATGCGAGCAGAATCTGAGGAGGACTTTTCAGTATGGCGGGCGTGTGCAGTATCCCAACAGCATGGAACTCAAAGCAATGATGGTTAGTTTGTAAATAAGCTACACAGTGTTCCTTTGTGGCTTGAAATATGTCAAAATTGTAGGGATTGCTAACATTTATTAACTTAAAGTGTCAACAGGTGTTTAAAAATACGGAAAAAGAATCGGGATAGTCCTGTATAGTCTCCTTTATCAGGTAGATCAGGCTGTGCTAATTAATCTACAGCGATATCTTTCATATTGTGGTGTCTGTCTGTCATGTTCAGATGTGACTTTGCTACATGACTTCTCAGTAACAGCTGTGGATAGCAGTGTGTGACGTTTCCCTCTGATTTGTTGTCCGTGTACAGGCCGGGCGTAGCTCCAAGAGACAGCTGTTC